GTGGCTTCTTGTCAATCCTTTTGTCCAAGAGAACAGGAAAAGTTTGGTAAAGGACTGGTTCAAAGCCTGTACTTTTTTTGTTTTGTTTTGAGAGCAGCAATAACAGGATGAAATACCAGCTAAACAAATATAGTTGCAAGAGCAGAGCATACAGCCTGAGGAAAAGCAATTTTCACAGCTCTGTTTGCACTCCCCAGTTGGAGGAGGATATATAGAGTCAGTTTGGTTTGAGGAAACTGGAGCACACTCAGAAGAACTTGGACTGCTGGCTGTTGCAGTGTGTTCAGGCAGCTGTTGGGTCAAGCTGCGATGGATGTGGGTTTCTCTTTGCGCTTGGACGCGAAGGGGGCAATGCGGACCGCAGTGGTTTCTGCCGAGAGACTGCAACTAAGTTTAAAGAGTGAGCTGAGTCAGGAAGAACAGGCCCTCACAAAGAGCAATGGGAGCCTCAAGGAGACGCGCAAAGTTGGGTACTGTACTAGTCCGTGTTTATCAGGGCTTTTCTTTACCTTAGTTTTCTACTCATGATGGTGGAGGATACTTTTTACTTAATAATTAGTGCTTTTTTCTCAACAACAAACAGTGAGCCTGAAGTTATTAACTTGTATTTAGAAACAACACTTAGTAGTTTGTCAACCAGAATGTTTCCTGTGTTTTAGCTAAGTGTTTCTCTCTATTTATTTAAAGAGATCCAGTAGTAGCTGATCCTCTTCTGTTTCTGTTTTAGACCTCATTTAAAGTTACAAAGACAACTGCTTTAAATGATAGTGACTAGGCTGTTTAATATGTTTGCTATTAGCGATTACTATCTAATCCATATGTATGTCGTAGTTCTGAAGTCTGTAACATTGTTGTAATATTACAATCACCAAGTTTGTCATGTGTCAGCATTGTCCTGTGACAGCATTGATTTCAGCCACGGTGTGACTTGTCATCATCTCTATTGTCATCATGTGAGATCCTCACAGTTTTGTTAAAAAAAGAAAAAGAAAATATTTCTCATGTGGTTTCCTGCTGTTTTGTCCTCTGTTAATGTTCCATTGAATGGTAAAGAGCAACGGCAGCTGGAATGACCTTTTAACCTGTGGAGCTCACACAGATCTGACAGACATGTGGCTTTCACATTACCTTTGGTCTAGGTTCTCGACACCGTAACAGGTCCTATCCTGTGGATTTGACCAAAATTGTATTTTCGTCACCAGGAATGAAGACCTTAAAGAGATGTTGGAGAGCAACAAAGAGTCACTCAAACTGGAGGCCATGAAAAGGGTTGTTGGGGTGAGTTCCTCATATATTTACCAAACATGAAGCTTCAAAATGATATAAATATGGTAATTTTCCTTTTTTTTTGGTTAAAATCTTTATACCGTTCACACAATAATTGAAGACAATACAAATATGTATCTTTATTTTCAGCTCATCGCCAAAGGGAAAACTGCATCAGAGCTGTTTCCTGCTGTTGTGAAGAACGTCGCCAGTAAGAATATAGAGGTAAACACCATATTTACTTTATTCTCACTGCTGGATGTTGTGATTCACTTGAGTATTGTGCAACAAAAGTATAAAACAGGAAGGTATTTCTGCTCATTAAGTGAAAAACATTGTAAAAAGAAACCCCTTTTTTGTTGGATTTCTAGAAATGAGATTATTTCTGTCATCAAATGAATGGAGTTTCCTTTCAAATGTTCATCCAGGTTTGGAAAAGAAAAAATCTGATGGAACCAGATCAAACCCTTTTGTAAAGTATCAACATTGAAAAATCCAGTCAAATAAAATGGCTCAGCATTTGACGAAAATATTATGATGAATATCAGTTGTTGGAGAAGCTTGAGCTTAACATGACTTTATTATGAAAAATCAGACTCGGACTCAAACTTTTGAATGTATTCCAGTAGTTTGTGTCTACTGTACGTCCTGCGATTTCTCTTCCTTGACTGGTTTTGTTCCAGTGTCTTTACTCCTCAGGGACCGTAAACATTCCCTTTAGTTTGTATTTTTCTGGCAATTTTCCGGCACTGGAGTGAATGTATTATATAAATGTTGTTCTTCCAAAAAAGCATCAGTAGAGACACGTCCAGAAGCCATTGCCTCAAATCCTCACTCTTCATTCAACCCTAAATAAGTGGTTTATTTGGTTAATCACAGGAGGGACCAATTGCAGCCAAAACTGTTGCTGAAGGATGACACTAATGTCAGATATTCTCCATCAATCCGTGGTTTTTATCCAGACCAGACAGATCATGCAGTAAAACACAAAGCAGTGGTTCTAGAGTCCTTACGCCCAGAGCCTGTGAATATTGATTAGCATCAGCGTCCTATTTAAGAAGCCAGTGGGGTAGCATGTGAACATGGGGCCTAAAACCAGGCTCCGTGTGCGTGGCATGTAGTTGATGCAGTTCATGGCAGGGAATGGGAGCAGGTGGGTGGATGTAATTGGCAGAAGAGAGCCCACAGTCACGTCTGCTCTCTCCCCACCTCTTACACACCAGCTGCTTAGGTAATCTAAGGTCCTAGTCTTTCATTTCTTCCTTCTATCCTGTCTCCTCCGCTTCCTCTCTCTTCTACATGGTTTATCTCTAGATCTTAAAATGCTTCTTTCCCATGTGTTTTTGACTCCTTCCTTCCAATTTCTTGTCACTTTGACCCAACATCAATTGTCAACAACAGAAACCATCTTGTAGAGTGCATTTGCACAAAGGTTTTGATTTCCATTTTTCACAACTGAATGGAAGGGAACGTAGTAGAAAACAAGCAAATGATTTATCGACAAAGAGAGATTTTACCAGACTTCTGTTTGCAATGATTTTATTGATGTTATTTGGTGCAAGATGACATGAAAATACCTTAATGACACTCACAAATTCCCTTTATACTTGTCCCTTTCCCTTTATCAGTGGCTGTCACCGCTGTAGTAGACAGCACTGTTATTTATGCAATTTTATTCTCCTCTAAATCGTTGGAACAAAAGTGCAAATAACAGTATGTAGATGCATGTATTTCACACCTGTATTTTTTGTGCCTAATGAAATTTTAAAAAATAGTTTGTATCAAAACATCGGTTAATTTTGACAGCCATAGTAATAATATTTGTCCATACAGTCATGTCAAAAACCAAAATGGTAAAATGTGGCCTGACCTCAACTTTCAAATTACTTAAAAATTCCTTAAGCGAGTAATCATTTTTTCATAATCACATTTTCCCGCTCAGTAACAGCTCTGTATTTTAGTTTGTGTCAGTCAACAGAAGAAAATCATTTGGTCCTGCCTTAAATTTGAGTGACATTGAAACAAATATTTGGTGAGGAGTCTTCAAGAAACAAGTAATAGTGGAGGGCAAAACCGTGGATGGAGGACCAAACAAGTCCATTTCCTATTTTGGCAAACAACAGAAGAAGAACCTATTAAATATATACAGTTCTCCCACTAGACAAAACAAGCAAAATGAAACCTCTTTTTTTGCTGTGCATGAGTGCAGTCATTTTCCTGCTGTAGTGAAGTGCTAACATTCTTCTTATTCACTCACTGGTACAATTACACTTCTTTCATTTACTGTATTATTTACTGTTTTGTTTTTGTTTTGTAGCTGAAGAAGCTTGTTTATGTCTACCTGGTGAGGTACGCAGAGGAGCAGCAGGACCTGGCTTTATTGTCGATCAGCACCTTTCAAAGGGCCCTGAAGGTAACATGCTCTTCTGTTAAAAAATAAGTTGTTAGGATGAAATTCATTTGGGTATAAAATTTTTTTTTTTGGCTGAATTAGCAAGAAACCTGAAGACAATTTTGAGGACCACCAAGTTTATTCTGGTGGTTAAAGTGCTTTTTAACAGTTACCAGCAAATTGAATACTACTTTTGAAATAGAGACATGAAGTATTAAGTCAGAATGAAATCTGACTTGCTGTGTCTTTTCGAGACCAAAAATGTAAACCGCAGAAAAAGGCTTAATAATGTGACTTATACTTCTGAAAGAATCTGACCTGGAAAATAAGTGTCAACTTTCAGTGAGACATTTGAGGATGTTATTTATTTATAGTACCATCATGATTACAGGTATGTTCATCTACATTGTAGAAAACCCTGACACTTCACTGTAGTAGTTGTTACTAATAAAACCTACATGGCATTTTGTTGTTTCTTATTCGCGACAGGATCCGAACCAGTTCATCCGTGCCAGTGCTCTGAGGGTCCTGTCCAGCATACGTGTCCCAATAATTGTCCCAATCATGATGTTGGCCATCAAGGAGGCGGCATCTGACATGTCTCCATATGTCAGGAAGACCTCAGCACATGCTATCCAGAAGCTTTACAGGTACAGTTCTACTCCAGCCTTGATAAACCATCAAGTTTAACTGGATTTGATGTAGGATCTGATGACATCTAGTAGTAAGAGAATCTATCTAATCTATCTATCAATCAATCACCAACATGTCCAATCTGGCCCACAACTGAATTCCAAAATAAACATTAAATAATAACAAAAATTCAATTTTTAATTAATTAATTAATTAATTAATTATATTTGAGTGTCGGTCCAACAATGATAGTTTGTGACCTGTGTTCATTTAATGAATAGTATTTATTTAACCAGGTAAAATGTCACATTGAGATAAAAATCTTTTCTACAAGCCGAAATGGCAGCAGCATGACGCTTAATAGTTTCATCCTAAAACGTCAGACTGTACAAAAACAGTCAACAGTACAAACTAATAAAGACAATATAAAGCTGTTTGCATAATGTGAAGATTATGTTATGTCATATTTTGGATACATATTAATTGTGAATTTATAAAAATATTGAAATGGACCAAAAATATCAAGACTACCTGCAGTACCTCCTCAGATCTGGCAGGGGTTGCAGACTGCCTGTTGAAGACCTCTCCTTTAAAGCAAGCAGTTAAAAGTAACACCTTAAGACTGTGTCCTGCTGTGGACAGCCACTGAGTGATTACATACACAACCTCTATTAGCAGCTAAAGTGTGCTCATGGGTAGTTGATTGTATTTGTACTCCGATCTGCATTCAGAGCGCTCTCAGGAGACATGATTTAATTTGTAACTCCATCAAGTTTTCATATTATGTGAATAATTACCATTCTTCGACTGACACTCGTTCATGTCTCTGTTGTGACAACAGCCTGGACCCAGAGCAGAAGGAGCAGCTGATTGAAGTCATAGAAAAACTGTTGAAAGACAAAAGCACCGTGAGTACACACTGGTTCGCACCGTTACACTGTACATTTTTTGCGGCCAAATCAAACCACTGGAGGGCGCCAGAGTCTAGCCTTTCACCTGTTTGCTCTGTCTCTCACAGCTCATTCGGCAATGCCATGGTTTGTTAACAGCCACTTAAACCCACACATCTTCAGATGCTCCTTGTTAAGTGTCTATTTGAAAGGGATTTTCTCACTGATGCCAGTGTCGGCCTCATTTTCTCAAAAGGCTAACTTTATTACAAATAGACCAGAACTGAGTCCGATTCCCAGATCCTGTGCTCTGGTCAGCCACGGACACAGAGCCGAATGTCCATCAGAAGTCATTTGTTAGCAGGTTACTGTAGGAGCTCAAAGTGGAAGCTAATGGTGGTAAAAACCCAGTTTTAATAAATGGAGACATGGGCTGAAGACTGACAAACACATACAGTGGAACCACAAGATACAATCCGTTCCAGGACCAATTTCGTAGCTCAAGGTGCTCATCTCACGAATCATTTTGTCCCTTAAGAAAGAACAGAAAAAAAAAAAAAAAGAATCCTTTCCGGCCCTCTAAAAAACTTCTTAGGACTCACTTCACTATTATGATGAATAATCCACAAAATAGAGAGAAAATCACGTAGATAACGCAAACACAATACGGAAGAGTTGCGGGAGATGTGTACTGAAGTTGACAAACAAGAATGGGCTGCTCCGAGTGCTCGGCCACCTAGCGTCGGCGTCTATAAGCGTGCTCGCATCTCAAATCTTTACTCGTATCTCGGAATACTCGTACGTCGGGACGCTCGTATCTCGAGGTTCCACTGTACCTTTAAAATATGAAATATGCAAACAAAAGATGCTCTGAAAATGTGTATTCATAGTGTGTACAAATTATTATACATACAAAACAAAGCAGCATAGGCCAAGGGGGGGTGGGAAGCCCGATAACAGATGCATATTTAGCACAGGACGTTAACGAAGACGGATGACATCTCCCGGCTGGGGACAGAGGGACAGAGAGCGCTATCATCACACAGATGCACTATCAGCTGATGAACGGTGAAAAACCTAAACATAGGACCCAGGTTTATTTGCGAACAAAATACACATTTTATTGGTATTAGGGTGGACCTTGAATTCCCTCAGCGGGGGAGAGTACACTGAAATTATACAGATATTCTACTAGAGCACATCTGTTGGTTGATCACAAAATATATCCAAGTACAAGTGATAAGATTAGTCCAGGTTAATAATGTATTTTGTTGAAATTGCTGTAACTCTTTCTAAAATAACCTTGAATGACATTTAAATCTCTTCAGTGGTAGTCTACAGAAACATTTTTTTTTCTTTTTAACTCCAGTGTTTTTTTTGTTTTAAAAAAAGGACCTGGACATGTTTGACTCTCTTATTAAAAAGTACACTTCTTTTAATGGTTTCTTCTTATAGATGGATTTGTGTTTAATTACGTCGAACGGCACTCGCTGTGAACTTACATTTACAGAAAGTAATGAGTTTTATTTTTGTTCGTCTTTTTTTTCCCTTCGATCTGAGAGTAAGGAGGCAGAATAACATTTAGACATGTCACTTTGAAGGTGCAGCCATCGTACCAGCTTCAATCATCATTATCTACCAAGCCGGTGAATTTTAGATATTTTTATCCCTTTTTAAATTTAACAGATGTCGTTTCATTAAGTGTACCTGTAAAAAGTATCCATCAGTGTGGTCCCACCTCTCTGAAATTAAATAGTAAAATAAAAAGAAATGAAGTTGCTAATGTCAGCTTTTACTGCTTTTTATTTATTTTTTTCGTTCTGCTGTAACTTTGAAAAGACATTTGGCTTAAAATAAGTTTATTTTAAAAACAACTTTTAGTTCATAGGAGTACTTTTCCTAGTGTAATGTTAATCCATCAATTGAGGTGGGAATTGGAGAAATCATTTGTGTGAATGCTCTTTAGCTGGTGTCATGATGTTGGCTGTTTAAAAAAGGAAGCATTTGGTTAACTCCGTGGGCTGTGCCGCTGCCCGGGCCTCCTGACGTCTGCCTTTACAGATGTGCCTGTTTGCTTAAGTAGCTGTGACACATGGGAGCCTGCTTATAGGCAGGATGGTTTAAGAGGAAAATGGGAAGGCCTGATGACAGAGACAACATAGGAGTTTGTGCAGCTGTTTTACTGTGATGGATCTATTATCCAGCCATTACAAGATAAATGATCGATCCCTCCCGTGCTTCCCCCTTGTACCTTCTGCAAAATTGAAATGAGAAGAGAAAGGAGGGGCCAGGGGGTGGCGGAGTACTATGATTAGGGGCTGGGTGAGACGCCCATTAATTTAAGAGGGAAGAGAGGGAAGAGTGCGGGAGAAAAGCGAGCATGAGGAGGATAGGCCGACCCCACACTGGGCCATCAATCAAAGAAGCGCACGTTGTCTCTGGCGTGATGACCCAGCACTCTCTGCCTCTCTGGCACCCTAATTAGAATTCATAGCAAAATAGATGCAAGGAAACGGTTCGGGCCCTTCATAATTTTATAGGAAATTTATTGTTATTAGAAGAACCATTTGCTTAGTGTGATTTTTCCATTACCGGCTTGTCACGCAGGTAGATAATATGGTAGGGGGAGGAGGAGGAGGAGGGGGAGGTGTATGAACTCCATAGATTGGGGTGTCAGTTTTGTTGATGGTGCATGTAGTTTACCTTGGAGCAGTGTCTAATGGGGGAAGTTGGTGGAGAATGCACAAAGCCTTGCAGCAGGATCCACATGCTCAGGAACAGCGTTGACTGTAATAAGCTCAGAGACGAGGGAGGTCTTGGGAGAACGACAGGCGAGAATAATGCCCCTATGTATAAACGCACAGCAACTTAACACCGAACAGATGGAACTTAATTGACTGCTTTGAGTTACGGAAGAATCTGTGCCAGAGCTCTTTTATAAAACATACAATCCTGTGATTTACCTGTCGGGGCTTTAGTAATGCCATCTATCAGCCTCATCCTTTAAACAGGTTCAGCCACTGTTAAATATACTTGACTGAAGTACTTTGAATGTCTACACCATGTTTAGTAGATCATAGAAGTTACAGGAAAAACACTGTGAGGAAAAGATTTTATTTGTCACATTAAGCTTAGATTATAGCAGTGTTTTTCAACCTTGGGATCACGGTACCTCATGGGGACACCTGGAATTCGAATGAGGTCACCTGAAATATTTAGTAATATATATCTATTCAACTAATTATTATTCTTTTAAAGATTATGATTAAAAACACCACACACAATGTTAAACATGAATATTAAAAAAAACAGCTTCTAAAGATATCTGACCTGGTCATCTTGATTGACGGCTGCAATTACGTGATTGAACAAAAAATGTCATGTGGGTCGAATATGGGGTTACAGGGCAAAAAAAGGGTTGTGAACCACAGGTTTATACACATAGCACTACAGTTCTTTGGACTCACTCTTAGAGACAAATCACCATTGACTGGTGAAACTGGAATGTGTAACAGTAGTCTGTGCAGAGAAATAAAAACAACTAGTGACAAAATAGATTGATTTATTATATTTATTTTAGGCTTATTCAAGGACAACACAGCAAGTGTTCCCACTTAATTTTTGCTTTCAGCCACATGACTCACAAACCGAGTGTTTGACAACGTTGCCTGTTAATAGACACTCAAACTAGATACTACTAATGTTTTTGTTTTTTTTTGTAGATACTACCAATGTTTTTGTTTTTTTTGTTTTGTTTTTGTTTTGTTTTTTGGCAATAAGACAAATTCTAAAATTAAACAGAACTGAAATGAATGTAAAATCTGTTATTGTGTGACCGAGTGCAAAAAGAAGTTTAGTACAAATCCAGGATGTCACATTAGTTTTCATTGACTTTAAAGCAACAAAGGTTTTCACATCACAGGAGCTTCAAACTGTCAAGTCTGATTGAAGAAACCTGCTTTGTCTCTTCTCTGTGGGGATAAATAAATGTGTCTGCCAAATTTGAAGTCCCTCACCTAACGCTAAATAAATAACATTGTTCACTTCATGAGCTCTACGCCAGAATGGAATTTCTTCCAAACCTAACTGCATGTAGATAAAAGAAGCCGTATGTGTTCTCCTGGAGTTGTTTATTTCCCAAACATTGATTCCAGCTCACTCTCCGTCTGAAGCTTTATTTGTTCTTTTCCTAAAAAACAAACAAAGTGATTTAAAAACATTTGTTAAAAAAAACAAAGAAAAAAAAACAATGAATCACTTCATTATTTGTAGTTCCTTTGACACATTTTAAAATCATTGAACTGCTGGATGGAGTACAGATAGGAGAAAATTCACACACAGGTTCACAACTTCTGGGTTGAGGCCAAAACAACAGTGAGGGGCTTCACCCTGGACAGTCCAGTAGTCCATGACAGGGACACGTGAAAGGACAAACGACTCAGACACACTCAGAATTTTACCTATGGTCATTTTTGAGTGGACATTTAACCTTACTATTTCTAATCTGCCTGTTTTGGACTGTGGGTAGAAGAAACCAGCAAACCACCGAAACTGCCCCGATCTCTTCTGCCACCGTGTGGCCGAAAAACAGATGTTGAATAAAAACCTGACACGGCCTTAATATCAGTAGGAACAATACAACACTATTTTAGATGACGACTGCCTTCAGTCTACCGAGTTCAGACCCAGGTGCCAACAGGACCAAAATCTAGACCTTGTATATCAAACTCAAGGCTCACGGGCCAAATCCAGTCCATCACATAGTTTTATGTGACCTTGCCAGAGTTTAACATGCTAAAACTTGGTGTGTCTTATATTCATGAGGCAGTGTCAGTGATGATGGAGTACAATAATTATTGATATGAGATAAGAATGCTAAATGTAGCCTCCAAGAAAAACAGCAAGTGTTCAAGAATTAAAGACTGTAACTGTGTCAGGGAATGTTCACCAAAGCTACAGCCAAACATGATGCGACAGTTGAAGCAAGTTTTATTGTGACTGGAAAAAAATGTGCAACCTTCAGTGTTTTTCAGATGTATTTTTAGAGGTGGCGCATGCTAACGGTGTGTGAGTGCCTTGAGACACTCTAGAGCCATTGATGTGGCCAACTTTTTATGTGTAACAATATTTTTTCTTTCTTAATATTAATATTTTTTAGGCAAATAACGCCTCCCATCCTCACCGTTAGGTTCAGTGGATCTGTCCAGAACTCACAGGAAAAAAAGGATCTTATTTATTTCCCGTGAAGTAGAGTACTTGAAAACACTCCACTAACAACACTTAGAATCGCTTAGTGAAAGTTTGTATTAACGTGTGTACAAAAATGTTTGTATATCTTGTGCAGATGTCGCTATCGCCGTCAATGTACAGGCGGTTTCATTGTCAGTTGCCTAGTAAATATAACTCGTTTTCTTAGGATCCTCGAGTGATTCATTCATCACTATTAGCAGTAGCAATGTCAAAAAAAAAAAAAAAAAGAAATACTGATAATGATTCAGATAAGTGATCAGGATTTTTCCAGACAGTAGCTGGACCAGTACACAACAGACACCCAATCAATGCAGGCTCATGACAACGCAGATGGGAGAATGCTCTGGGATCCCACAGGGCCACTGGGGGCCAGAAGGCTTTAATTGAGAAGATCACATTCTGCTCCCATTCTCTTCTTCTTCTTCACCCTTGCCTGCCCGTGATAATGCTGTTTGCATATTAATACACTACCATGTCAACCAGTCAGTGTCACAGTCACTCCAGTCAGTCAACACAACCGTGGGCGTTTCCCTCCCACCAATGAAATACAGTTGATTATTAGCGTTGCTTCTTCAGGTAGTTGTTCTTTTGTTGTTCTAATTTCTTGACCATAAAATTACATTTTTTTTAATATTTAATAGTAATGAAGAAAGTTGGCAAAAACTTAAACCGTGATAATTTTCCTTCTAATTATCAACTAACTACCTAACAGGCGTAAGTCGGTGTATTGTAATCAGAGTTGTAAATTGACATTGTGTTTTTTTTCCCCCCAAGTGCAATTATAGCACCTGTTCTGACTTGACTGGGTAATATCAGATAAACGTGACAAACGGCTCATTTCCCTGGAGCCTCTATATAAAGACTTTGACTTGTAAACTACTGTTTCCTCTTAACTTCTCTATATCAGCCCTGTGAATACATTGATGTGCTCAGGTATCAACAACAACGTAACATAATTCTGATGATGAGCTTTGTTTGTTTGTTTGTTTGTTTGTTTCTGACTATTTCCTGCTTTGCTTCTGCAGTTGGTGGCCGGCAGTGTGGTGGTGGCCTTTGAGGAGGTTTGTCCAGATCGCATTGACCTGATCCATAAGAACTACAGGAAGCTGTGTAACCTGCTGGTGGATGTGGAAGAGTGGGGCCAGGTGGTCATCATCTCCATGTTGACCCGCTATGCAAGGACGCAGTTCATCAGCCCCTGGAAGGAGGTGAGACACTCGTGACCCGAAGGACCGACAGTTGGTATCAGTGTCAGTAATAATAATAATAATAATAATGATAATAATAATAATTTTGAAAGCATAAACGTCTGAGCATTTTTTCCGTGTAAACAGGCTGGTCAAACATTCGTAATGACCATAACAGTAAAATATTGTTCTTCAAAGTTGGAGTCGTTTTTTAGTTTCTCAGTAAGAATCTAGTTATTTGTGTTTTATTTTAATATTAAAACTATGTTCCAGATGCTTCATTATTGGGTCACCAAAAATCATTACATTTAACTTTTGACTAATATTTATTATTTAGTAAGGTATTATTAGATTTCAGATGTAAACTGTTAATATTGAAAAACAAAAATTTCACAAATTATTTATTTTATTGTTATCTGTGGTTAATTTGATTTGAGAGAACACTTTAAACTTGATATATTTTGCTGTGTCTTGTTTTGTTTTGTAGGGTGCTGCATTTGATGAAAACAGTGAGAAGACTTTCTATGACTCTGACCATGAGGAGAAGAAAGATCAGACAGAGGCCAAACCTTACATCATGGATCCAGACCACAGGCTGCTGCTCAGGAACACTAAACCTCTACTACAGAGCAGAAACACTGCCGTGAGTCAGCAAAAACTTGACATCAACAAACAGCTGTGATAGTTCCATCAAGTCACTCATACTTTAGAAATGTTGGTGTTTACCCCCACAGTAGAGACAGGTGATCGTTGATAATGAGGAGGTATAAGAACCATGGTGAAAGGCCAAGGGCTTATGTGTGATGTTACCATTGACACTACTCTCTTGTTGGGTTGACAATGACTTGTGCTTCCACTGGTGCCAATCACATGTTTTTTTTAAATAACCCATTACAATTCATATTTAGCAGACACAACGCCTCTACATAACCATCAGCTCTACAGGTCACAGAAAGTGTTTTTGTTCCTGTGAACGTCAACCAGGGTTCTACTGTCTGTCTGTAGTTAATAAATAGGATGTCCTTCAGGTTGAATATTTGTTATAAAATATAAAAAAAATTGAAGAAGAAGAGAGGCTGGAGCTAATGGCAGTGTTAGCTTGGCCTCAACCTGATCAAAATGGACTCTTAAAAACTAGTGTGCTTTGTGGAGGTGTGGCATTAACACGTCGCTAAAATAAGGTGTGTGACCTCTAACATGCTGCGTACAGGTGTAGCGTCAACGCTACGTTAATATGCTTCATGGTAACATGCCAGCAACATTACCACAGCTAATGCACTTTCCAACCACTAACACATACAGTAGCAAATTTGCTATTACTAACATGTTAGGTGCTAGCACAGCGCGACACTACGATGTTACTTATATCCAGTAGATAATTAGCAACCAAATGAATCGTGGACTATAATACTAAAAAACACTCAATACCAAAATAATGTTTATATAGTATGTATATAAATAATGTTGCAGAGTGCACCAAGATGAGAAGAAAAACACCCTTCAGCAATACGCACACACACACTTGCACTATACACACGTCTGTGAAAGCCCAGTTCTGCAGTAAGTGCAGATCTCCATCACCCTGGAATCTCAAGGTCCCTGAAGGCGCAGAAGAAAAAAATGTCCTTAAATGAGAGTGTTGATTAAAATGTGACATGCTGTGTCTTTACTCACAACAACACGGTGACATCCTCCATCTTCACAGACGCATGTACCCTCTCCTCCTGCCTGCAGTGATGGACACACGTCGCCTGGCTATTTAAAGCCTGGCTGAAAAATTACCTTTATGGAGTCATGTCATAAGTGCCTTTGCAGAGTCCTGTGACATGCATGTGAATGAAGGTGTTTTATTTTAGCTGCGGTCGACAGATGGCTCATGCCATTGTAGGTGGTTTAATAATAAGAAAGCACTTAGAAGTTTGAAAGTGCTTTTCAAGTGTTAAAGAAGCATAACGTCAAGTTTGAGGAACGTGGAGAACAACACGAGTTTTTACCTTCTGGAGGTTGGCTGAAAATTGAAACGTGTTATAGAAAAGAGATGGGGGAGGAGAGGGTGAAGAGAGACATTATCTAAAAGCTATTTCATTAAGGCTGTTTTGACCGTCATGATGTGGCCATTGAACAAGTCTGCCTGAACTGCTGTATCTTCACCTATCTATATCTGCACGTGCTGTGGTGCTGTCATCTGGAACATTTTTATTTGCCATTGGACAACCTCAACCTTTTTATGCACATTTTTAAATGTTCACTAAAAATGCAATAAAGCCCAAATAAATATTAATTAACTAATACTATATTACAGTAATGTGTAATTAGATTCAATCAGACGTAGTCCTCTGTAGGACCTGTGATTCTTTTGATGTTCTGGTCAGTAATGGAGAGCTGAAAAGCTAAAATATTCTTCTAACCCTTTTGTTTTTAAGGTGGTGATGTCTGTTGCGCAACTCTACTGGCATCTGGCCCCAAAACAGGAAGTTAGCATCGTCACTAAGTCTCTGGTTCGACTGCTGAGAAGCCACAGGTAACAAAAAAATGTTTTTTCTGAAAGGGCCTTTAATCTGTAACCTGTCATTTTACCTGTTCTTTGAAGAGCTTTCCTGGAGTGTGACAACGTTCTCTGCTTCTTTATTTTCAAAGGGAGGTGCAGTATATTGTCCTGCAGAACATTGCCACCATGTCCATTCAGAGAAAAGTAAATAGAATTTTGTTTTTGAGAAGAAAATGAGAAATTGTAGAATTGTAGAATTGTGTGACGTAATTGTCTTAACAAATGTCTCCAAACAGGGAATGTTTGAGCCATTCATGAAGAGTTTCTACGTCAGGTCTACAGATGCCACACATATCAAAACCCTGAAGGTAACCGCAGCCTGCCTTCTCTATGTCCTCTAAGAATCTGAACACCGGGCTCTGTTGACGGGAGTCGGCTCTTTTTGTTCACAACAAATTACCTTCAGAGTCGACTCGTTCATGAATGTTCAATTTTAGGACAATTGTGGCTTGCAAGTCAAAAAGTTTGCCCACTCCTGGGTTAGACTATAATAACAGGCCTAATTTAATTTTTTTAAATAAATGTATGTGCTTCTACAGTTGGAGATCCTGACCAACCTTGCCAATGAAGCCAACATCTCCACCATTTTGAGGGAATTTCAGGTATCTACTTTTCCATTTTTACCAAACCCTCTCTGGTCTTTGATTTTGTTTCTGTAAGTTGTTTGCATTTACATTTACATTTACATTTAATCCTTAATCCCATTCCCTGTAGACCTATGTTAAAAGTCAGGACAAGGCGTTTGCTGCAGCCACAATCCAGGCCATTGGCAGATGTGCCACCAACATCTCTGAGGTGACAGACACCTGTCTCAACGGTCTGGTTCTGCTTCTTTCCAACAGAGACGGTAACTGATGAGCTACACGACATGTGCTGATGGTCTACGTTGTTTTTTTTGTTTGTTTTTTTCTAACGTGTTATCTTCTCTGTCGGTGCAGAAACTGTCGTGGCAGAGAGTGTAGTCGTCATCAAGAAGTTGCTTCAGACTCAGCCCACTCAGCACAGTGAGATCATCAAGCACATGGCCAAGATCTTTGACAACATCACTGTACGATCCAGACGCTCGTTGATGGTTCTGTCGATGGCATTTTGACTTTTTGTGCGCTTTCTTTACAGTTGTTTTGTCTAACTTTTTGTCTCAACTCTTCCGACTCTCAGGTACCCATGGCTCGAGCTAGCATCCTGTGGCTGATGGGAGAGTACTGCGAAAAGGTGCCAAAGATCGCACCAGATGTTCTTCGTAAAATGGCCAAGAGCTTTACAACAGAGGAGGACATTGTCAAGCTGCAGATTGTCAACTTGGCAGCCAAACTCTACCTGACCAACTCTAAGCAGGTGAAGTATTAAAATTAGGGATGTACCGATACAGATCGCAGTATCTACCATACGCCATTCTTCATTGTAATATTCGTCCTGGTACTCAAAAACAATCCAATACTCGCTGTCCTAATGGGTAGTTTATATACACAGTCAGACAAGACGTACTGTGAGATTTGCTCTGTTATAATTTGAAAAAATTCTCAAGTTTCCCACAGAGCAGTATGTAAGCCTGTATAACTTAATAAAATATTTATTAAAGGTATCAGTAATAGTACTCAGAGTACACATTTAAAAATGCTTTACTAACTTATTACCCTAATAAGGATCTATTAGTGCTGGATTAATGTTAAAAACGTTTGTGTTTCCAATTAAAACTAAAGGTTTAAACCTCATTATGAGGTTTTTTGAAATGTGCCTTTTCCACCTGGGTCACACTGCTAACCCAGTCCACTTTGTGACTGTGCTACTGTGTAGCTTTGAATTAGACCGATTTAACGCAATGGTGCGTCCGTGAGCACAGCTTGGCGTGCACAGGCCCATTCGGTTCAATAGGGTGATTCTCGCCACAGTGCTGGTTTATGAACCCAAACGCCGCCTCTTTAAACGGGCAGATCATTAAACCTCCTGCTTTTCTGTAATATGTTGCCGAGGAGTGAGGTAGACACAAAGTCAATTCTGTAAAGGATTCGGGCTTTTATTCCACTTTCATTATGTTTAGCTTTTATGTCTGCCTAAATAATGTATAACCGTGCGAGGGCTCTTTCTCCCTAATGTTGCTCAGAAACAGGGATATCAGACTACATCATTAAAAACAACAAGGAAGAATTACGACGCTCGGAGGGAAAGTCAACCAGAGGATTTGTGTTTGAAATGAATCTTTTAATAAGAGCTGATTTTTTTTTTTTTTTTTTTGGCATAAATATTTTTCTTTTTGCTTGCCTGTGGTTTGTTACCTTTATTACCATGTAATGTTAACACTGTGAGACTACACTAGGATCAAGTTAAGCTGCTTCAAAATTCCACAGTCTTTCTAACGCTGAAACTTTTTGAATGATTTATTGAGATTTTTCTCAGATTTTTACGTGACTCCTCCTCACTTTAGAGGGTTCATACGTGTGTCATATCTCTAGAATGGCTAATGGAACGACCAGCCTGTGGTCACCACCTGATCTGTTTCTCTGGACATGGATGAACAGGGATTTTGAAAGCATCAAAAGTATAAACCGTTTAAACTCTGATCAAATAACATTTTAGTTAATATAAAGATCAGTTCTACAAAGATCTGGCAGAGGCCCTGGACCAAAGGCATTTCTGACTTACCCCATTATACTGTTTCTCAAACTATGGTACGTGTGCCACAGATGGTACTAAGGCTCCCTTTAGGGGACCAGGGAAATCATTTGTTGAATTGTTTTTTTTTTTTGTTTTTCTTTTCTTTTCCAATTTCCCATTCTAATTTTCTAACAAGTATTTTATGTAATTTAAATACCAGTTGTATTGCTATCTAATTGTATGGTGTTGTCTTTGGCTTATTAAGTGGCTAATATTAAGAATATATTTTCGTCATGACACACTGTGCTTAGCTGAACAGTGTAGGCGTGTGCTGCAGTATTTAATGTCAGTCATACTGGTGGTGAAGATGACAGGTTTCCACCTCCTCTCCTCCTCCCACAGACCAAGCTGTTGACCCAGTACATCCTGAACCTGGGCAAATACGACCAGAATTATGACATCAGAGACCGAACGCGCTTCATTAGACAACTCATAGTACCGAGTGAGAAGAGTGGGGCCCTTAACAAGTATGCCAGACGGATCTTGCTGGCTCCCAAACCTGCTCCAGTGCTTGAGTCTGCTTTTAAAGGTGAGTCAAACATTTGTGTCGTCAATCACTGCTCTGTATTTTAAAGCTTTCTCCAAAGAGCCTGAAATGACAGATTAAAGGCCCCTCTTCTGTGTGTGTTTAGTAATTCATCTCAGTAAATCAGTGAATACATATTAACAGGACCTTTATTTCACCGTGATGGGATCCATTACCAGTAGTGTGCAAAGTAAATTTATGCAGTGATTTTATTATTCTGGTGGGCCTGTATCTCTGAAGGGCAGTTAGGTCAGACCTCTTTGCCTAGGATTAATGAGATGGGTAAATTATTGAACTAATGCTAACCTTTTTTTCACACTGAGAGGGAAAATAATTCCACTCATTTAGCTGTCTCTCTTCTCTTTTGCTCCCCGGTCGACTAAAGCGACAGAAAAGGCCTCCGACATCATTAAAATTCAAAGGCGGTTTGTGTCGACTGGGTGTTTATGGAAGGCATTAACCAACTCTGTCATTCTTAATATTCAAGTCTTCCTCTCTTTGGTTAGGAAAGCTCAATTTTTAGAGTGTAATCGCTAAGACATCAAATGTCCTCCTGGGTGATGACTGTGTGTGTGTGTGCGTGTGTGGTTGTGAGTGTACAAAGGTAAAACACTAATTTGACATAAATGTGTGTAATGGAGGATCATCTGATGTCAAAATCTTTTATTACAATTATTCAGTTGTTCCTAAGTTTTAGTTACAAATCTAGCACCAATAGGAATTTGGATTCTCAAAACAAAAATATAAAAGATTTTTTTTTTTCCATTCACCATTGTTACTGTAGTTATGTGGCGTTAATGGCAGGTCTCTATAGCACAGTGACTGTCAACTGGCTGCCCACGGGCCGAATACAGCCCATCAAACCATCCTTTCCAGGATCCTTTAATATTGCTCCTCCCTTATAAAAGATAAAAAAACAAAAGAATGTGAGTCCCACAGGAAAAAAAATAAAATAAAAAAAGGAAACAGAATTCAGAGGATGGAGGAACAGTGTTGAACATAAACCAATGAAATAAAATGTATTATTATTATTATCTTTGTGTTTTTCTGGCTCATTCTCTGTGAATCTTCTCTAAGAGCTTCTGCTTTACTTCCACAATTTGTATAAAGAGTCACAAACTTTTATTCCTCAATTGTAAAATGAGCTTCTCATGCACTGTGTTTGCTGTTTGATATACCAAGTTCTCCTCATTTACTCTCACAAAATTTAAAACATGTTAGTCTTGGTTTATTTCTTTACTCCTGTTTTTTGTCTTTTTTCTTCTTTTTTTTTCATTTTAAAATGTTCTTTCCCCTGGTTCAGATCGAGACCGTTACCAGCTGGGCACTCTGTCTCACAGTCTCAATACTAAAGCTACAGGATACCAGGAGCTTCCAGACTGGCCGTCGGAGGCCCCGGACCAGTCTGTCAGGAATGTGGAGGTCATTGAGCCGGTAAGAAAATGATGTCCAATCAACTTCTCCTGTCTTGTCTGTGTACGAGGGTAATTCAAAAGTGTCAAAAGACCAACGGAAACAAGTGTACGAGGGTAATTGAAAAGTGTCAAAAGACCAACTGAAACAAAACGTATGCACAAACATTTGTTCAAAAGATTTTACTTTAATCAGAGAATTCCTTCTTTCTGAGGGACGTTTTCACACCATCCACAAATGTACTGTGACATATTTGATGTTCACTCTGATTTCAGATTTGTTGAAATATCAAAAGAAACTTGATAAACATAATGACAAAACTTCTTGAAATTGTTGGAAAAACCTGAGAAATTTATTAAATTATTTTAGTTTATAAAATGAAGTTATTCTTTAAAACTATAAAATCTGTCTTAGAACTTTTTGACTTGCCCTTCTAGTAATGTCAGAGTTTATGTGGCTGGCATTGGATGGTTATTCAACAATGTCAAAAAAAGATATGTAGTGGGAATTCTTGCAATTAACATGAATCGTATGTTACAGATAACAACAGATTTAATATATCCTCTGTGTTTAGCTCCTGACTGTGCATATATAAAAACAAATATTTGGACATAAAAATACAGACATGCATTTTTATTGTCCATCACAGTGTTTTACACAAACAACAAGTTCCGTGGACAAAACTCTAATTTCAGTCAGTAGGTTTAGAATCTTCTTTAATAATTCCATTAATGTCACATTGTGGCATTTGACAAATTAAATGCTAGACAAATGGGCGCTAGCGTTTATTACGTGTGATTATTTAGTCCGAAAAAACAACAAGCAGGATGTTCAGTGTTCAGTAAAAAGAAAAGACATTTGTTGAAGTGCAAATTAGAAAAAAATTAAATGAAGTCACTTTGTTTCTAGTGGAGGAAAAAATGTGTTATTGTTACATTATAACATCTGATGAGGAGTTTAATTAAAAATAAATAGAATGCAGATTTAACAGAGAAAACATTGTGCATCAAAAAGAAAGATTTACTGAATGAATACTTGATACTGTATGAAATAAACCTATTCACTTCTTTAGTTTGGTTTTAATGGCAAATTGTATCATCTTGAGACTCATCTCTTTTATTCACTGCTAACCTGTTGACCTCAGTCAAACAACAGGCCAGTGGCGTATATGAATAATCCTCCAATCAGATCTCAGAGGTCGTTTCATTATGGTAAAAAACGTCTTATTGATCGATGACAAATGACTGTATTTGCTCCTCCTGTTGTCCGTGCTTCAACTACACCAGGTGAAGGAGTGGGCACCGCTGGTTGGGAAGGTCAAGCAACCCAAGTCTGACCAGAAGTTCTACTCTGACGAAGAGGATGAGAAAGAGGAGGGAGGGTCAGAGAGCAGCGGGAGTGAGGACGACAGCAGCAGCAGCAGCAGCAGCAGTGGCAGCAGCAGTGAGGATTTACTATATATAAGTTGTGTATGTGTATATGTATGTATATATTGATTGTGTATATATGTATATGTATGTATATATTTACTATATATATGTATATACATATACATATATAAGGTGCCACCCCCCATTCTCCATTCATTGTCTGTTGGCTTCATCGTGGTTAATCCACAGCTACCAAATATATTTGATATATATATTTATATTAGTAGATAAAGCCTCAGCTTCGTGTCCACTGTCAACGAAAGCAGCAAAACTAGAACAAAGTTAGTTTACAGATAACTACATAGCGTCTCAGCAGTTCATATGTGGAGTTGTGTCTTTTATCATTTTATATCCAAAAGTGCAAACATATTGGATGGAACATTTAAACAAATTCAGGCTCAAACATTCTAGCACAAAGGAAGTACAATTCTGTTGTGACGTGCCTGTTGGAAAATTAGAAGAAAATGTATCCACTCGCCCGCAATACTTCAGTGTCCCCTAGGTGGGCACAACCCCCACTTTGAGAACTACTGACTTAACCAATTCCTAAATGAGATGTTGATACATAGTGTAATGTAATTGTAGCACAGCGTACATGAAGTGTTATGTTCGAGGTCTTTGTGATTGTCGGTACAGAGTCCGGCAGTGAGAGTGACGAGGAAAGCAGTGAAGCATCAGAAAAGACCTCCAGTGATTCTGGGAAGAGTTCCAGTGAATCCGAGGAGAGCTCCAGTGAATCTGACTCGGAACAAAACAAGAAGAACAAGACCAAGAAAGTGGCGCAGAAGAGAAGCAAACCAGCTGCTGTCAACAGGTACGCCCAAATCCCTTCCAGCCTGTTCCAGTGTGAGAGCATCATTTTTCTTCCTCGCCTGTTTGGTGGTCCAGATGTTTCCTGCTTCTTTCTATTTTTTCTCACTCTGGCTCGCCCTAATGAGACAGGTGGGTGTTTGTGAGAAGAAGCAGGAGTCGCAGGCAACAGCAAATGTGATCAGTGCTTTGCTGCATCCATAACTTCAACCTCCATCTGTTAAACACTTCAGTCTTCTTATAATCTGCATGACAAACCACCTGCTGGCCGTGCATCCATCTTTCTTTCCTGCCTTTGTTTTCACAGCTTCCACGTCAAACGTGTCATTTTCGTTGTTAGCTTCGATAAAATGTAAGAAACTTGTTTTCTGCCTTTAATGGAAATTTATGTTTTGGAAAATATAGTTTGTGCTTTCTAACTTGTTTTCTGCCTCTAATGGAAATTTATGTTTTGGAAAATATAAAATTTAAAAAAAATAAATATTTTAAATTGTATTCCCACATCTTAAACTCCTGAATATTTTTAAACTGTAAATTTATTTAAACCTTAGAAATTATCATTTGCTATACTCTACCTGTTTGACGGTTATTTAGAGCCGGGGTCCCCAACTCATGGTCTGTGGTCCTGACCGGTAGCGGCCGACCTGTCTTAGTTTTGTCAATAAGTTTTGTGGATCAATGGCATTAAAATTAGACTACAATTAAACCTCTGCTTTGGCAATGTTATTAAGGTTGCATTTTTTTTAGTTATTTTGGTTTTGATGCCATTTTATTTTAGGCCTTTTCTACAATACTCAAATTCAAAGAAAAAATGGCATTAAAATGAATTTGCCTCTACTAACTCTGCACCCAAATAGGTCCCTGCCCCTCACTTTAAGAACCACTACCTTAACTGACATTTCGTTGTGAATTTCTTTCTTTCTTTACTCTGTGTCTTTAAAAGTGTTTTGATTTTTTTTTTTTTTGGCTGTTGGATGATACAACCATGATGGATGTTTCAGCTTTAGCTTTAGCTGTTAGCTTGTTGTGTTGAGTTTCTCAGAGCCAAATACAGTGAAATAATATTTAAAAAAAACTGCTCCACCTTATTGTGGAATGAAACACTACCTTCGACTGTTCTTTCTGGAATATAAACCCAGGTCATCGGCTCATCAGGAATGTTGTTACTGTGAGTTCCATTAACAATCCAATCAAGGACAATTCTCCTCCAGTAGTGTAGCCCACGTTTACATGGCTAATGGATAATGACTTTTGATTGGTCATTTAGCAGCCCGGTGTTACCAATGAATGAGATTTAGGTCATTACTACTGAATATGCTCTCACACACACTCCCTTACACGGGGGCAGATTTACTTTCTTATGCACTCGACTTCATTCGCTCAGGGACAGGCCAGCCCAGAGTACCAGAGTCTACCTGATTCTGCCGTGTGACAGGCTGCTGGCTGACCCTGTTCTCTCCATTAGAGAGAATAATTAGAGCAACTCACCCCAATGCTCAAACACACACCAACATGCGCACACACACACATGCACAGTAATTAGAGCCGCTCACCCCAGTGCTTCCACAACAAACACAGCATAATGCCCTCATTATGGCCCAGTCATTTCAGGCAGAGCCTAATCAGGCCCACAGTGATTTATATCACTTTTTCCTGTTCGCAGCAAATGAAATCTGTAGGCCAAATTAATACTGGCTTTTCATCATCGCCCAAGTTAAAAAGCCAGTTACCGTCACAATTCCCCTCATTAATTTAACGGCTGAAAGTCCCAGGCAGGCCGAGTAAACACTCATTATTGGAACAAATTGAAGAGGGACGGAGCAAGTGAAGGAGAAAGGAGAAAGATGGGGAAAATCTTTTTTCTTTTTTTTTTTCTGAGTGATAACAATATTTAATTAGCTTCCCAAACAAAAGCCCATTGATCATTTGTGAATTGCAATTGTCAAGCTTTGATTGAAAAGGGAAGGAATGAGCAAGTTATCTATCTGCTGCTATCTATTGTTTTATTTTTCAAATTGTATGTAATAGGTAGTAGTATTAAAATAGCTTTTTTTTTAAATGCTGTTCATATTACATAGATATTAACTGTTCATTCTTTTTATTATTTGTTGTTCGTGTGCGTTTCAGTGACTCGGACAAAAACGGCAACGGACCTGTAGCTGACGCCACCTCAGAGGAAAGCTCCTCTTCCTCAGAGTCCGACTCTGAAGAGGACTCGGATTCGGACGCCCCCACAGTGCAGAAGAAGAAAAATGACGTGAAGTCCAAACCTAAGGTGACGTGATGGTTCTGATCAGTGTTTGGTCAATGTCTGTGTTTACATGGACTGGCATGAACATGTCATTTCTCATCGTCAGCTCCAAATACTGTGCAACATTTATCAGCCGACACTTTTTACTGTTTTTTGCTTACAGTTTGTTATTGGAATTGCTGATAAATTTTACATTTTATCTATCTATCTATCTATCTAATAAATATATACGTATATATGTATGTGTATATATATATACTGTATGTTCATACAGTATATACGTATATATGTCTGTCTGTCTCTCTCTCTCTCTCTCCCTCCCTCTCTCCTGCTGTCTCTCTGTCTCTGTTCCATGCTCGCCCTCACTCTCTACATGCCCGTCTTGCTCTTTGTTTTTTTAAAGCCTCTGTTTACTGACGTTTGTCGTCTCCATCACCACCGCTGAGCATCAATCATAGATGTTCTAAGAAGATACGACCTCTAACTTTTATTGTTTGATGTATTTTTCATTCTTTACTCTCTCGTTCTTTTCTCTTTTTTTTTTCCTACCCTGCTCAGCCTGGAGTATGCAGAGTGGAATTTTATGGTTCTTTATGTGGCGTAAAAGGAACCCGGGGTTGGTTGGGTGTGTGTGTGTGTGTTAGAAGAAACGGTGATAAAAGTGCTCGTATGAATAAATGCCTTTTTATTGGGCCTGTTGTGCTGCCAGATAGAGGCATGTGTTGCAATTTCCACAAGTCAACACCTGACAAGCCGGGCTCAGTCACACGAGGTGGTGTGAATTGGATGTGACACGATACTGTGCATGAAAGGCTGTTGAAAATTTCAAACATGCCGTAAATATCCGCAGTTTCTTTTTTTTTTTTTTCTAGATGGATGTGTCCTGGTTTTCTGACACACTTTAGGTGAAAATTGAGACGTTTCTTACCATGGAAACCACAATGTTCAACTTTGTGTTGTATCTCTGTTACCTGACCCTGTTGTCTGTCTTTATAGGAAGGAGTGAAGTCAAAGAAGGAAGTCTCTCTTCTGGATCTAGATGACTGTGAGTAACTGGCACGTTTGCAGAACTTGAGGTTTTTGAAACAAAAAGTCAAAATATTTTGAGACGATTCAATTAAATCTTTGTTTTGAAAATAACCTGTACTTTGTCACGATACTGCATCCTCTGTTTCAGTCTAAACAGTCTTCAAGGTGTTTAAAAAAAGGATGACTCGATCTTATATGCCGATAATCCGATACTGGTCAAAATTTCAAACAGCGGAAAAAACAACTGTAGCCTGTACGATCCGATACCTAACCCCAAATGCTTAAACTTAACTTTGTGTCCACGCTGTAAACAGAGACACTTTCGCCTCAGCAACGACATGCTGGAGGAACAAGAAGGTAATGGCTTGATATCGGTATCGGACATGGAGAAGTTGTATCCAGCCATCCCTTGGTAGGATATCATGGAGAAGTTGTATCCAGCCATCCCTAGTTTAAATGAGTGAATTTCTTGCTAGTATTTTTAATATTTCTTATACACTCATAGACAGGTCGAAGGGTCAAACGATCGGTCGAAGGATCGGTTGAAGGATCAAACAAACTTTATTTTATCTTTTTTTTTTGCTGTGTCTTTGTCCAAATAATAACGTCCACTGTCTCCAGTGCTTTTCCTGATTCTTTGGTTGTTTACCTTTGTGTTCTTCAGTTTCTCCCGCACCTGTAAACAACACACCAAAGTCAGCGTTCGTCTCCTCCAGTCTTCTGTCCGACCTCGAAGGCCTGTCCCTCTCCAACGTCTCCCCCACCATACAGGTTAGTGCACCGCTGTGTCTGCAATACAAACACACCAAATGCCATTTCCTCCATTTGTGTAGAGGGTCCATCGTTCCACTCTGTCTGACGCTGACAGAACATCAGAGGAGCTGGTAAAACAAGGCCTTCTCCCTGGTGGAAAATTTCTGCTTCAGACACCAACTATTGACCTTTTCTGCCTGCCAATATTTATGGCCATTTAGGATGATGCAACTGCTCTGCCCGTTTCCTGTAGCTCTTATAGTCTGTCTTTCTCACCCATGCGTCTTTGGCTCTTCCACTGCTTGAACTCTATTTCTGTGTGTCATCTATAGTCTGCCCTTCTCTTTCCTCCCTCTCTCCCGCTCTGTCAGCCTCCATCTCTCTGTCCGATGTGGCGTCCCTCGTGTCTCTGTGTTGTTCATATCTGATGGTTGACCTTTCCCGGTGTGACGGCTTCTTTCTCTCCTCGCCTTATGAGCGGCTCCACGCGTTTAGTCTATTTTATATCTTGTCGTCCCTCGGGAGGTAAATGTCCGGACCATTCTTTTTGCTGTTACTCTATCTATTTCACTGTTGGCTCTTTGCTGTTTCCCCTTGGGTTCCAAATGAGAAACGTTTAAAAAATATTCATGTTTTTTCAGTCACACCATTTCTCCGTTCTTTAGTGGGGATGTGGTTAAATGTTTAGGATTAAGTTTTACGCATTTTTCTATATTTATTGTTAATGATTAGAATATTAGAGATGGGGTTATATTGTGTGTATTTCTTTTTTTTTTTTTACCTTAAGTGCAATAAGAGTTTGTCGGACTGTACGCTGCAACAAAGCCTGTACCATCGACTATTACTATGTATACATTTAGCCGACGCTTTTATTCAAAGCGTCTCACATCAGGGAGGATTCATTATATGGTTTCACAGGGACTCGAACCCAGGACCTTCTCCTTGCGTGGCAGATGTCATAATTACTACACTATAGAACCTAAATGTAGGTGACATTACAAATCCTTCTTTTTTTTTTTTTGCTTTCCAACTAAAAAAATGTTTAGGCAGAGTACTAAACTTCCCATCTTTCTTTTCTGTATATGTACAAGTAGCAGCTTTTCTGGAACCACAGTTTGCACATCCTTGGGAAAGTGATCAAAATTCCGCTGCATGTTGATTATAAAGCAGAGTCTCCACTGTCCCAGCTCTGCTGCAATGGAGACTCTAAATTCTGCGTCTGTCCCTCTTCCCTGCTGCCTGTCATTCAGTATGATTGACAGCTGCTCTCTGGCCAGCGTTTATGCAGTGCAGGTTAGTTGTTAGTCACTCCCCTCCTCCTCAGGTGAAGGCCAGGGAGTAATAGCAAATAGAAATGCAGATTAGAACGGGGAACTTTTTGCGCCTCAACATCTGATTTAAAGTCAATTCTATGCATAAATACATGATGGGCATCAGGATTCATAGACAAGGGTAAATAACCTCACCTTTATTCTAATGCACACAGCCCCTCCTCTACCTCCTCCCATTCTCCACCCTACCCCAACACACACACGGAGATGCACAGATAGCCACACACCCCGGTGTCATTTCTATTTCTGAGCAATCTGCCCACAGAGGCAGCGAGTCTGTCTCAGGTGAGCGCTCGGGCCCTTTTAGAGAATTACTGCATGGTTATCAAAGGCATTTAGATTAACCCTGGTCACCGTCTCTGACCCGTCTCCTCTTCCATCTCCCCCTCCTTTTCTTACTTTCGGCATACTTTGACTCCCTCTAATAACATTTTGACATTAGGATCCCTCACAAATGCCTCTTAAATCCATCCCCCATTCCCAGTCCACGATCCCGATGTCCATGTTCACGGTGGGGTTTGGCGAAAGCTGATAACTTTTCATTCATAATTAGCAGTCAGCGAATGGGACTGTGTTGGGGGGAAATTGAACTGTCAGCGGCCAGGCGCAGGGTGTTTGACCCCATCATGCCCAGAGGGGGCCATCATAATTTGTTCATTTGGTGTCCATCAGGCGGGCGCCAGCGAGTCCCTTCCTCCCCCCTCATCTCCCGCTTCAGCCTTCTGACCTCCCCCGTAGTGGGCGCTCTGGGTTCACGTCTAATTATGATTCAGCAGAAGAACCCAAAGCGGCAGGAAGGGAGCAGCCCCTGCCCTCCACCCCTGTCGCTGCCACTCAAACTGTAGAGATTGTCTTTTAAATAGGAATAAATGGAGAAACAACACAGCAGAGCTGCACCGTCCTCACTCACTGATGTGTTTATCTTTCAAATGATGCAACATTTCTTTTCTTGAGTTGCCTTTTTGGCTTCATGTTCAGATCTATCACAGGTGTTTTAACCTGTCAAAGGTCCTGCAGAAGTTTTACTTTTGGACTAACTGACTAACTAACTGCTACGTTTCCTGTTACGAGACTATGAAAATATTTCTCACCTGTAGCCTTAGGTCTGTTCTTAGGTTAGGTCAGTAACTTTTTCTTTGGGCTTTTCCCTTCATCATTGGTCAGTTTTAACTCTGACCGTTGATGTGTGTTGATGCATCCAGTCTAATTGGGTTAATATTTGAGATAGAGAGGGAATCAAACCAGAGAATCTTACCACTGCTACACTGGGCATTATAGTCATTGTATTAACATTAAAAGATATATATATATGTATGTATGTATATATAGGTCAATTCAGTTTTAGTTGTGTCTTGACTATGGAAAACACTTTTGTCTGAATGGACTTCATACAGTAGTTTTAAAGTTTTTCTAAATAATGGTCGCGTTAACTCAGAGTCCTTGTAAAGCCAGAAGAAAAGAGAGAATTCTGTTTTTGAATAATACTCATCTATTATTATAAATGTTCTTTAAAATTAATGTTTGAAATACATTTTTAAGAACGAGTGATTTATACATAAATGAATGTAAACGAACCTTAGCTCGTCCTCATGTGCCGGAGAGACTTCTTGTTATATTAAGCCAGTTTGAGTCGACTGGAGTAACATTTATTAAATACAATTTGCTGTCAAGGTCTTTGTGACGTCCCCTCAATTAATTGTCATCTTCTGACTGAAGGGAACAATTAGGCCCTAAAGTCAAACACATGTCCCGTATCTTTAATCCACACAAATCTTGTAGAGCATAATGAAATCCTGTCTCTGTCGCTCCACGCAGACGTCGTCTGAAAACCAGAAATGGATTTTCAATAAATGTCTACATACATCTCTGTACTTCACACTTCCCTTTCTGCTAAATTGTCCTGCTTATGCACACAGCACGTGGCTGCCAGGCTCCGGTCAGACCTTTTGAATATGTCAGCGAGATTTTCAGGTCATTTGCCACAGAGGGTGTCGGGAACATGAAGTCCTGGCTTTGAAGGTGACTGGTGTCTGTGCCATCCATCACCAGGGCTTCCTTTAAGTTGATACATAATAGAGCCTCTCAATCAACTTCCTCCCTCATTGTCACCTTCCTTCTTCCTGTCCGGGATGTAGAATAGGAGCTAAAGCCGAGGAGGGGAAAAAAAAAGAGAGCGAGAGCCTGGCAGAGGAGTCAAGGTTACATCCATCCTGTACTCTTATTTACACTTGAGGTGTTTCATGGGCTTGTGTTTCATAACAGGACAACAATGGGTGGATGGGGTGGGGGTGCGGGAGGGGCTTGTGTGGACATAGGTGTCAGCCTGTCCACTGTGTCAAATAGGTGATAATAAGCAGTTTAACGCCTTGTCTTGTCTCACCTTCCTCCTTACGCTGTGGCACCTGCCCTGGACGAGGCTCCAGACGGGACCTTGAAGTAGGGTGTGTCTGTCAGGGAGGTAAATCTCCGTTGTGATGGGGTGCCAAACATTACGGCCGGCTTTATCGACACCGACGGCTCTGACACTTCCAAAAGTGGCCCAATAAATTTGCGGGCTGGCAGGAGCGTGACGGGCGACTGCGAGGGCGCAGTGACGCTACAGCACAGCAACAAATGTTTATTTGACCTCCTTCACAGACACCGGGTTGGTCTGAGCAGAAGACACGTCAGTAGGCAGTCGGATGTAGCTGAACAAGGTCGTTGACTGGTGGACTGGTGTTTGTACGTCTTGAGACTTTTTGTTGACCTTGAAGATCGTACAAGTAACATTTTTACAGACTCCCCTTTAGAAGAATAAGAGGGGAGAGGTTCTCAACAAATAAAGTCCCCTATGTCAGAGTTCACTAGATTTAACACAGAGAGACAAGAAATATTGTTATTGTACAGACCATGGATAAAAACTAGAGATGGTTTGATCCGTTACTCAGCATCGGTATCGGTTCGATATTGATCAAAATTTCAGCATCAAACATTGAAAAAACAACTATAGCCTGTCCAATCCGCTTCACTAAGCCGAAATGCTAAACAAAATTAATTTTATCAGAACAATATCGGTATTGGGAGATACTCCAAGTTGCAGTACTTGGAGTATCTGGCCATGCCTAGTGAAAAACATTGCTAAATGCAGGAGACAGATTTCACAGTGAGGTTGAAGACCATTGTGACTGTTTGACCTGATATGAAGGGACTGCATGACGTGAATGCATGGATGGGTCCAGGCTGGAGCTCGCCCTCACTGTTAGCTGCTGGGTTTGGCTCCAGCTCCTTGGCGACTGTAAAAAGGATTAAGTGATAGAAAATGGATGGTTTTAACAGAACAAGGGTTGAAAAGGGAAAGGAGATATTTGATTAGAAAAGATTGGATTGGATCGAATTGGATTAAATTAGATTAGATTGAACTGTATTGATCCCACCCTGGGGAGATATTGTTGTCTACGACCTGCTGGAAATCTTTTCTCCAATCAAGATTTGTTGGCATTTGTTGCAGATTCCGATGTTTTTAATTTTACAAATAAGTTGGCCAGCAAAAGCACTTTCCATAGGAAGTATTTATTCTTTAGACTCTGGATGGTTTAAATTGCTAGTGAACCATGTGCTGCAGTTCGTTTTCCAGTGTCAGCGTCTCTGTTATACATGTAAATTGATCAACACTATTTTATTTGTTTTCACAAAATACACTGTTTCTAAACAAATCTGCACATACACACACACACAAGTAATAAAAATATTAGTGAGATGAGGCCAGGTCAATGACCTGATGAACAGCCAGTACCGACAGAGAGATGCTAAAGCAGCCACTTAATAAGAACAGAATTAGAATCCAGGCGACATCGCCATCAACAGTTTGTTCTACATTGCCAGAGAATAAGCACTTAAAAAAGGCAAGTCATTAACATGAATTAATGTAATGAAATTTAAATGCAGGGAACGGCATAATAAAAACACCTCCCTGTGCAAACTGAGGTGTAAATTATAAACAAATGATCAGCCTTTAATGATGTGATTTATTGCAGCACTGTAAAAACTGAATTTATTTTAATAAGGTTAACCGGAGAGAAAGTTTAACGCGTGTGTAGAAAGGTCAAATCAATCAACAAAAGTTACACTCTCTAGTTTTAGGGAGTGGTGATAAGTATTTACAACTAATTGGGTCAGATAAAATATTTAAAAATATAAATAAAAAATAAATACTATTTCTTCTGCCTTCAAAATAAAATAGGGACACTTTCTCTATAAAATATTTTATATATATATATAAATGGACTTGAGCAATAGCCTACATAAAATACATTTCCATAAAAGTGGGAATTAAAATATAATCTAACACCAAGTTTCCTGTTCACTTGTTCAGCAGTTTTAGAATAAACATGAGGAAAGATTTTAATCTGTGTTTTTTCCCCACATTTTTCTTGTCCAATGTTTTTAACTCTTAATGGTCCAAATATAAAGAGAGTAACTGGACCCTGTCTCTGCAGCGTTCCACTGATGTCAAACCGATTATTTATCCTGTAAACCAGTTGTGACAAGTAGTCTAACGCCTCGTACATTTTTTTCACCCGAGTCCAAGCGAGCTTTGTCGTGCGTCAGCTTCTAACGATATGTTTTGCGCTGATTTCACATGTCAGTGAGAGACTGTAGCTTCATGCATGTTTTCACTGTCTTTCTGCGTGTCACGTTCAATTAGCCTAATTAGTTCATACACCTTCTCTGATCATTCAAGTGGTTTTATTGTTGTTTTTCATTTTATTTTAAAAAATGTTAGTGCTTTCTTGCATCGTTTTTTCAATCCTTGTCATCAGAAATTTTAGTTTGTTAATTTTTTTTTTTTAGTTTTTTTTTTATTTAGTTTTTTTCTGCTTACAAGATGGCATGACATTTGCGGGGGTGCATTCAGGTGCAAAGTATCTGTTAAAGTCATAGTGCATCCTGAATGGGTTAATCACCTAAGACAGATGGACAGATCTTCTCCTAAGGACTTTATGTTGTTTGCACACATTAGTGCTGTTACTGTGTCTGTCAGCTGAATACATGCAGGGTTCAGAAATAGCCTTATCTGCAGATCCAGTCTACTCTGAACTGTTGACAGGTGCCTGCATTAAAGTCAGAACAACACCATGTGAAAACAAGGTTCCTCTAAGATGTTAATTTCGTTGTAGGACGGGTGAGTGGTGGGGGGCGGGGGGATGTCACCTCTTCCTCTCTTCTTTATACGCCTTTTTCGGGACTGAAAAGGAAGAAAGCCTCTCCATAAAGACCTGGAATGGCTGCCTCGGCCTCTGCATGCACTTGTGTTTTTATTCATTAGAGGCTGATTATTTTAGCCTAGCCTGTCTGTGTGTAGCCCACTCCGACCCAGCTCGTCTGATTTCGATGATTTTTAAATGTGCCCTTCTTTACACAACAGAGACAAGGAAAGGAGGTTGAGTGCTGCTGGTTGTATTGGTTTAACAGCCAACCTTCAGCCCTGCTCTGCACACGGCGAGACACTGCATCCTGGCTTCTGATTGGATACAGCAAATCCCATCTATATGTTTGATGGAAGGGGCCGGAAAGAGCTTCTTGAATTAATCTATTCTATTGTGCAGATGCATTTGCACAGTAATGCACAAAGTGTCCCTGGATGCAGGGCTCTTTGGGAATGTTCTGCTTTTACTGTTTGTCATCTCACATTAGTCTCTGACTCTCAGGACTGTTTCTGCAGTGGTTCCACTACAAACCATTCCTACTTCGAAGAAACTAAATATTTTGTTTAATTTAATCAAATGATCCTTTATAAAGAAAAAAATCGGACAGTGGTGAGACTGTTTTGCAGGAAAGTTCGTTTTGCTTCAAAAGTACAAAGGCCGTACCTCTAAATTAAAATGTGCCACCATTAAAAGAAAAAATCTAGATCTGAGATAATGATCGTCTTGCTTCACAGTTTTAAAAACTGTGTTAAAAATGTCTGTATTGTTTGACTCATTTATTCAGCTGGTATGGCTAATGAAAGAAAAGTCGACTGTATTCTTTTCAAATATGACAATTTTTAACTAATACATATCATGTTTTTGTTTTTTTTTTTGGAACCAGTTCTTCCTTCCTTTACTTGGTTTCAGTTCATTTTTGTAGTCTAATGGTCAGTGGATCAACTGGACTCTTCAGTCGGGAGTCTTTCTTATGACTCGTTCCTTGTATTTTCTTTGTCAGGTCAACACACCGTCTTTCGGCCCCATTAAAACCCACGAGTTGCTTCACCACATGACTGGAAAAGGCCTCTCTGCGAAGTATCACTTCCCGAGGCAGCCGTGCCTGTACCAGCCCAGTATGGTGGCTGTGCAGGTCATACTGACCAACAGCTCAGATCACAGCCTGGAGGAGATCCACATAGGAAGTCGAAACCCAGCTAACCTGAACATCCACTGTTTTAACACCGTCGGTGAGTACCAGAGTACCATGGTATAAATGTGTGTCTTGGCAGTTGTTTCATAAAAGAAGATGTATTTACTGTATTTATTCTTTTGCTTATTTTTCCATCACATTTTTATGTTAGGACATTTTGTTTACAATTATAAAACATTCTTATTATCACTAAGAAAAAAAGGTTTCCTTTGAAATTTTCCTAAGTACTTCCTCAAGTACTAATAGTCAATAAACATTTTAGAAGTATTTTACTTGCTAATTTTCTGAAGGTGATAATGATGTTTCCAAACAAATTATTTTTTTTCCTTTGAAGTTAAATTAGTTATTAGTGGCCTGTAGTTTTTGGTTATTTCTTTTGAAATTGTGTAGCTCATGTAAGTCCCCCCTCCTCCCTGCAGGTGGTGCTATTAATACCACCATAATATTCTTGTCCATGATTTGAGTGTGCAACAATACAAGATATAGTTTTAATCATAACAAACAAACAAAAAAAGAGTCAAAACATTTTTTTCCACTGAAACAACTACTACATTTCAGAGAAATAACTTCGTAGCTTATTTATCAACATCAGTTGTTGTTGAAAGACCTGGCTTAGAGGAAAGCTGCCGTTGACAGGCCCCCTGGTGGTCGGTGTCCTTAGTTCCCTGACTGCGTCTCATGCGTCTCATTTCACAGTCCAGTTGGGTGGAAAGTGCAGTAATTTTCATTAACATAAATCTATATTTTTTAAAAAGTAAACAGCTGAAAGACGTAGTGCATCTTTAATCCAGTTTTCCAAACATTTTTTGCAGTTTTTAAAAAATATGTACCAACACTGCAATGACTTCACAGAAAACCGATGGTCCGTCCTCCCACATTCTGTGTAAAACGTGTTGTCGAGTCCGACGTAATCTCAGTTTTATTTCTTTTAGACACGCCGTCCTCGTTTTCCCCCTCTGATGTCCACAACTACATTTATTTTGATTTTGAACAGTATCTGATGTTGCTGCTACTTCTTCAAAATAGAGCTGCACCTATAATATGATTTTAGCAGGATATTAAATGATCATTACGTTATCAGAAACCTATAACCGTGATGGCTGTCAGACCTGGAAACAGCCCATCTCTGGTCAGCTAATCCCTGTTCATTAGTATCGATCAGGACCAAGACGCTGCACAATCTCCATATTTCTTGTCAGACCGGTGCATGTGTATGATATAAGACCGAGAACAGCTCTCCCTCAAGATTGTCTTTTCATGCACACACACACATGCACACTCGCAGTGTGCAGTGGAGCACATTAAAACTGTCAATTGCAGAGAATTGATTGGGCATTGAAGGAACTCAAGCAGCCAAACAGTGGGTAATTTGGATCGATTGAGCGCGGCCTGTGTTAGCGGTTGGCTGAAGTTGATTTGTGTAAGTTGCAGAAGATGAATACAGACAAAGCTTTATATTGTGTTGTTTTGTGTGTTTGTGAGAGGAATAAAGCATGGCAGTGTTTGTATTTAATATAAAAAAAATGTTCCACGGAGCCTCTACGAGCTGGTCGTACCTAAAAGCTGCCTGATTTCACATGAATGGTCACTAATGTTGTCATTACTTTTTTATGTATATTTTTATTTGCTCACTTGTTTCGGTTAGGGACGTGACGTGAGATTTTCAACAGATGTTAATAACTGATTATTATCAGGTCCTGATACATAACTGAAAATGTTCGATAATATGTCTTCATGTGATCGTTTTGTATCTCAGGATAGAACAATCAGACAAAAATCAACAGTTCTGACTTCTCAAAAGTCCATGTATTTATTTTGGTAATTAAAAAAAAAAGAAATGCAGTTTAGAGTTCGGTTCACTGAAAATAAAACGCATCAAGTAAGACATAAAAGCCAAATGTGTTATAAACTCTATATGAAGACGTTTTGACTTCATGTAACAGCATTGTTCTTGTAATGTTTCTACTTTAATTCCATATTTTTTTTACATTCTTAATTTGGCCTTTATACTCCACTTACTGCACTACTTATTATTTAAAAAACCCAGTGCAGCTTTGTTTATACTTATCCATTTGGTTCTTTAAGTTGATTTTTTTAAGTCTTCTTTTAAGACAGGTGTTAGAGAAACTTTGACGTTTGCGTCCATGAGTCCATGATGGTTCTGTTATCTAAGGGTTTCCTCAGGAGCCTCAGCTCTGGCTGTAGAACCAGTTATAGAGTCAACAGTCTCACCCCACTGAGAGAGGCACAGACTAACTGGAGGGGTGGGGGGGGCGGGGGGGTGCATGGATGATGTTACTGTCCATCTGGAATCTTCTCATCCTGAAACTCCCTTCTTCCTCCCCCTTCTCCTCTTAAACCCAGCTGTCCAGACTCTCACTCCTCAGCAGTTTTGGTTCAACTTAACTCTCTTCTCGTCTCACCCTTCACCCACTCAATCTCTCCCTCTTGTGATGATGATGATGATGATGATGATGATGCTCTGTATGACAGGCCTGTTGTTTTGGAAACATGCTCATCCTTTATGGTTGGAGGTGTGGGGAATAGGGTTGAAGGATAGATTTCTCACACACGGTGGCCTTGCTTTGTGAAGTAGAAAACACAAGTGGTGTGGATGCCTGTCTGTTCCACTCTGCTGCCGCCCCCACCATCAACACCTCCTCCAGCAGCCTTCACTTCACTGTTCCGTTCCTCCACACAGACTGTGCCCTTGTCACTCACTTCTCTCTCATCTTTCCCGTACCTTCACAGAGCGGCTGGAGCCCGGGGCCTCGGTGACAGTTTCCATGGGTATTGACTTCAGCGACTCAACGCAGGCCGCCAACTTCCAGTTGTGGTGAGACCATCAACACTGATCCGGTCCTCGTAGACCCACAGTACATCTGTTTACTACTTGATGAGATAATAGTTTATAAGATGACAAGAGACGGGGCTGAAATAAGATGAGGTGAGATGAGGAAGAATGAGGAGAGATGATGACATGACATTAGGACAGGCATGGGCAAACTAAGGCCCGGGGGCCGGATGTGGCTCACTCAGCTTTTTGATCCGGCCCACCAAACTTTTCCAAATTATATAATTTATTTATATTATCATTATGCTTCTGCCTTTTCCCTGCAATACCCACGTTTTTCCAATAGATGCCGTAGAAAATGATAAAAGCTTTTTCAGCAATATCGCCTTTATGCATGACTTTTCATGTCATTTATCTTAGTTCACACGGACGCTCCATCTATCTGCTCCTGACCCGGCCCCTCTGTTCAATTTTAGGACGATTGTGGCCCGCGAGTCAAAAGTTTGCCCACGCCTGTTTAAAACCCATCCAAACTTCTGAGTGTGGAACTCAAGAGTATGAACCTTGATTACACCTCTTCGTGCAACACTTAAATGTGTCAATGTCAAAGGGAGGACAGTAAATATTATTACTCCATGCTTTTTTATCTACCTTGTGTCACAGATATTATTTTTTTCTTACAAATGTGGTTGGCAGTAAGCTCCATCCCACTGAGGTTTTCGATGTCAGATATAGTTTCCGCCCAGCACAAGCAAATAAATATTCATGCACATATATCAACTGTGCCTTTCAAGTTGTTACAATAAAAAATTAAACTGAATGAATTGTGATTGTGTCTGTCTCGGTTCCATTTGTGTCTGCGCACGTACAGCTAGTTCCGTCATCAAGGAGTAGAATGAGGGGAGCATAAGTCAGGTAAAAGAGGCAGGTGAAAGATTACAAGAAAGTCTAAAAAATGGGTTGAGAAGTCAAGGCAGAACGAGGCCTCCTCCCTGTTATTACCACCTGAAGAAAAGAGCTTTGCCATTAGACTGAAATTTAATTTACCAAATAGGGTTTTAATGCAGCTGTTCACCAGTAGCCCATTCCGAATACACTTTCTGTCAGTTCATTTCCTGAAGGCCATTTAATTGGGCTAATGAAGAAAGCTGCTAATGGCTGCGTTTATCTCTGGCAGCACTGGTGACATTTCATGAAGGCAGGTTGTTTTGCAGGCATTGTTTAAGTTCCCTGTGTAGAAATCCATAGATGGAAAGGAAAACAAACAAACATGGTATTTGGTCAAACTGGCACAAAGGTCTGGTGGAAAGACATTAGGATGAGAAGCCATGAAAATGTATTGATCCCAATCAAGGAGTTGACATTTCACAGCAGCAGAGACAAATTAGAATTAGAAGAGAAAAAAAAGAACACTGACTTCTGTTCAGAACAAAACACGACGGGCGATGAGACTTTTTAAAAAGAGAATTTCTTCTGCATTTTCTCTTCCTTCTGCCCCACATTTCCCTTGTTCTTTGTTAACTCTGCCTCTACAACCTGCTCTGTGCCAGCACTCCCAGGTGAGAAATCAGCCACGATTGATCCTGGTGCTCTGGGATAACAATTATTCCTGCAGTAATCAGCCCCTGCCCAAATTAACCTGCTGAATGCCATTGGCACCGCTGCTCAACCAATCAATAACCTTATCAGAAAATCTGATTGGGATGAGGGAATCAATCCAGCCCAAAATGCTATTTACAGAGAGCTAGCCACCAAGCAGTCACAGGAGAAATGTTTAATGCAAAATTAACTCACACACTTTTGACATGTGTCAATCTTAATTTAAAAAAACAAACTCCTGAAAGAACAAATACTAAATTAAACTACTTGGTCCTACAGTAACTCTGTGTGTTTTCTGTTATTAAAGCACAAAGGAAGACCAGTTTAACGTGTCCATCCAGCCAGCTGTTGGTGAGCTGTTAATGCCCAGTACCATGACAGAGCAGGACTTCTGCAAAGAGCAAGGTGAGTCCAAAGACCTGTGTTATCATAGCTGACCTCAGTATGTTGATGTGATACTGGTCGTGTCCTGTGGAAAGAGTAACACCATCAAGACAAGAAGAATTAAACACAAAAGCATTTTTACATTGGTTTTGGAGTCTTCTATCCTGACATCAGTCTCTGATACAGCAGTTTACCTTTGTTTTCCTAAACGATCTTTAATCAGACATTTTATTTCTGTCACTTCTGTTCCATGTGAAGATGCGTCTGTTCCATTAAATTTACGTTTAAATTAGGTTTAAGATTTGACAACAAACAATATATGTATGTACTGTATATATACATATATATAACGGTATGTATGTATATGTGTATATATATATGTATATATGTATGTATATATGTGTATATATGTATGTGTGTGTGTATACAGTATGTGTATTTATATGCATTTATGTTTGTTTATATATATATACATATTTACACATAAATGTATATATCTATGTATGTAAATAAATATATACAGTATGTATAAATACTGCATATATAAAACACTGATTTATTCAAAGGTGATCAATACCGACAACATAGTATTGATTTCTTATACGTACTATTGTAAAAAATAAAGACAATCATTTAAATTATTTTCAGTAAAATTTAAGCAATAGTTAATAATTCCTCACTCTTGTCATTTAGGCTCAATGTTTGCACTTAATGTTCTTCCTAACTCACCTGAGAAGGCACACACTGTAGAGCTGTATCTAAACCATCTGTGTGCTTTTAAGTGCATTCTTTTTTTCAGCACTAATTAATCTTCATCCATTTCCAGCTCTGTGGAGCTGAATACATTTGGCCATTATACAAAAAAAAAAAACCAGATGATTGAATCAGTCCAACATTTTGCTGCATTTGCCAGGAATTATTTCGTGTTGATGAATCCTTCCATTTGTCAGGGTTTCTTTTTTTTAAAATCTTTTTGAGTTGATCCCTCTTTGTCTTTTGTTTTTCATTTCGCCTCAAAATTCTACATTTCCTCAGGTAAACTTCTGGGTATGAATGAGACCTCAAAAACCATCACCATGGCAACAGCCACCACCTCCAGACAGGCCGTCAACAAGCAGGTCCTGTCTGTGGCCAATATAGGAGTGGTGTCCTGCGGCCTCGACAACATCCACAGGTGAGACGTTCAGAAGTCTGGAGTGTTTTTCATGCCGACGTGTCTCCTTCAGATACTGTTTACACGCAGCTTCAGTGAATGAAGAAATGAGAAAATAGATTTTTTTTTTTATTATGTTGTTATTGAATTCATCAATTCAACCCCATGCGTGGGTGTGTCCAGGGTAGATGTAAGTAAATGGACTACACTGTGACAGTGTGACGTGAGTCTGTACTGTCGTTAATCCTCAGACAGTGGTCAGTTAAAGGTCACTGACTTGACTGCAGCTCGTGGTAGAGTCTGATGAGGATTTCGGTCAGTGCTGCACATGTGACATGTGACTGCAGGGGAGTGAAGGTGCATGTGTCCCTGCTCACCCTCACATGGAGACGCCAGAGGAATGCCCCCAGACGCCTGCCTGTGTAATTGGTGTACACAGAGTGTGCTAATGAGCTTCCTCCTCTGTCACGCACACCCGAACACCTGATAGATAATTACACCTCCCTCTCCTCCCCTGTTTCCTGATCTGCCTCTCTCTCTTACTTCATCTCCTCACCCCCGTCCGTCTCCTCCTCCCCACCGCTGCTTCACTTCCTCTTTGTCTTTCACTCCTTCCTCCTGCACCAGCGCGTCTGTCCCGTCATGTCTTTTGGTGAGGATTTCTTCATAGATTTAGACCAGAGTTGAGGCTGTATGAGGCTGCAGCACTTAGGAAGTTAGAGTTTAAAAATAGGAAGACCACAGCAGTAAGGGCACGGTGGGCTGAAAGAGTAAGTGGAGATCAATGTCAGCCAGTGGGAGGCGCTGGTATCCAATAAGCCCATAGTTCATTCAGAATAACCAATAACTCAAAAGACCCCAGGCCATCAATCTCACTGCTGCTCCTGTGATGACTGAAGAGGACAACATTCTCCCAATGTTGTCCTCTTAGGTCTCTTAGTAATAAAGGCACTCTTCTGCGTATCGCCTCCTGTGCCTTTTATTGGAAATGATGGAGTTCCTCGCTGACAAAAATCCTCAGCCTCTCTCCTTTTCAGATTGGACTGGCAGATTTGACAGCAGTGTATTGAAGAAGTTTCCTCTGTAAAGACTGTCATTCAGACTCTAAACATCTGTCCAACACACGGCTGCCGCTAGTGAATATATTGGATTGTTCATTATTGGACCAATTCAGTTTGAAAAAGGAAATATATTTTACTCTACCTTGGGATATTTCCCTGCATTAGGTTTTGGCCTTATGAGGAACAAACCCATTTACACTGAAAATGCTGAACCTTAAACTCAGAATAATGAATCTGAATGATGAGTCACCAATAGATGTGGACTAATATAGCGTTATAAAAAATACTGTTTATTCAGGATTATACCATATGTTAGTACTGTACAAGTACTGAAGCCGTTTTATGGATGTTTTTTCTTTCATTGTGAAAATATCAACATATATTAATTTCTTATAAGGAAACTAAACATAAAGTTATGTGGAGCTAAACCATGATGATGATGATGATGACGATGAAGCAGCACTAATTTTTGTCAGTAGAACCAGAGGAACGAATGAGAGCGAGAGCCAATTAGAGCTGTGTTTGTTGGGTAGAAGGCGGGACATCCAAACAGAGATCCAATCATAGCAATCGATTATAATATGAAGCCAGGAACAAAAACGGTGGTCAGTTCGTGACCAATAAACATTCATTACTACAGAGATGTAGAACCAGATCACTCTGAATGTCAGTGAAAACCAGACACACTGTAAAACCAAGCGTTTATATCTGAACTACACTGACTGAGCTGTGAAGTAAAAATTGTTGTCACGACTTGTCAACATTTCACATTGAAGTTTTACAATAATAAAATTTAAAAAATGGATTGTTTTCAATTAGTAACAAAAAATGCAAAATATAAATAATACTAAAGTTCAATAAAATAAACAAGGTTTCCTGTTAGAATGTCCTAAAATTATTTTTTCTGAAACATAAAAAATATGACATTTGCATGGACTAACTCTCATCTAAATTGAATTAACCTAAATCATTTTGAAAATTCAAATTCAAATTGTCGTAGTGCCTGAGTTGGGACCAAGACTAAGTAACCTTTTTATTTCCAGTACAACACTGAGAGGATAACGTTTTAAATGTACAGAACCAGAGAAGTGTCTCAGTCCATTAACTACTCATCAGACTGCTGCTGTTTCTAATTCCTCTGATCAACCAGAAGAGTATTAACATCATCCCTTCAGCACTGTGTAATAATATTGAACCACAGCGTTTGTTGTTGTTGTTGTTGTTTTTTTTGTTCCTCTCTCGTCCACACACACGTACCTGGACTAACACAGGGCACGTGCACAGAGGAAGCTGACTGATCTGAGACAGGTGAACACGCCCACTCAAGGCTGATTGTTCGGGTCACTTGTCATTAGCAGTGATGTGAGAGGTGGTCTGTGTCCAGTCACTGTGGTCTGTCCGTACACATAGAGCCTAAAAATCATCGATGAAGACACGGTACCGTATCTGCTGACACCTGGTACCGACCCAAGGCTGTTATAGACCGCAGTCCTGTGTTGGACCTCCCCCGGCCCCCGCTCTGCCCTTGCACTCCCCTTGTTTATCAGCAGAGTGCAGCACTGCTTTTCACCATGCAGGCGTGGAGGGTGAGTGGAGGTGGAAGACACAAAAACACAGGAATTGATTGCGGGAGAGGAGGATGGCAATAAATCAAGCAGGAAAGCAAATGTGGACAACGCTGTTCTTGTTTACGTCTAAACAGGCGGAATAGAATAAATGTGCTCTATTTTTCAGTCCGTTTGAAAGCAAATCTGATCAAATTTTGCATGCATTGCCAATCCCTCTGGTTAATTTTCAAACAAAAAAAGTGGGGGGCGGCAGGCGACTGGACCCCTTTGATTTATAAGCAGTGTTTTCTGGTTGCTTTACATTTTAATGTAATTAAATTAGGCTTCTTCAAACACGGTGGATTTTCCTGCTTTAGGTGAAGCTGAATCCTCGTTTCAGGCTCATTTATAACCTGAATAATTAAACGTCTGTTCCAGATGGAGCAGAGCCGACTGTGGCGTCTGATCTATCTTCACATAATAAGGAATCCACCGTGAAAGTGATGTAATGTGGGTTATTTCAAGACAACAATGAAGACGTAACATGCCTTCACGTCTGCATCTTTATCTCGGTTACAGGGAAAGCGTTCGCTCGAAAACCACAAATTAAACTCTCCCTCTTCCCATCTTGTCCATTTTCTCCTGTTCTGGTGTCCTCTCATGCCTTTCACGTCCGTCTGTCCTCTGAGTGCTGTCCTGCGGACGGCCCGTATGGCCCGGCTCTGAGGAGGTGTGAAGGGTTCCTGATTCTAATTGCGGCTAATAGCTTTGGCCATCTGCCTGGTCTGAGTCTGTGCTCTGCCCTCACTGACCAGTGGGTTGAAGTACATGTGGTCCACTTGTCCACCTGGCCAAGGACCAGGCTGGAACAATAGCGGTCCCTAAACAGTTGGTCTAAGCCTTTATATGTAGGTAAAAACATGGTTGTTGTTGTTGTTGTTTTTTGAAGGTGATTCTAACGCACTCCTTAATTCCCGGTTGCTGATCCAAACACTTAGTGTCTTTTCTGTGCGAGGGCAAACGCGAAAAGGTGTGAGGCCCACTTTGTGTTTGCAGTGGCAGCGTGGAGGGGGAGGCAGATGGCACAAACCGACTCTGCACTGAGAAGAATCACAGATAATTGGAGAGTGATGCTTAGCCGCAGCCCTGACGATCGATGCCAATCCTCTCTCTCTCTCTCTAAGTCCAGGGGTTATGCTTTGCTTTTCTTTCCATACGCTGCAATTAATGCAGTGTTTAGCCCTGTATGTGAAGAGTGCAGGAGAATACCAATGACCCATTTAAGGCCTTCGTGTCCTTAATCTTTCCCTTCTTGTCCTTAAAGATGCACTGATGTGGTGTTGGACAGGGACGTGAGCTGGAGTCAGTCTGTGCAGCTGGGCTGTGTTGAAGGAGCTGAAAAAAAAAAATATATATACATCTATATATGTGTATATGTATGTATAAATGTATATATATGTATTTATATCTATACATGTGTGAGTATGTATGTATATATATATATATATATATATATATATACTCAATATATATTGAGTTTGGGATTATGCATTCCAAACTGAAAGGCAATCAAAACATGTTTTTCTTCTTAGTGCTCACTTTTATTCCATCACATGAACAAAGGTCCACAACATCGTCTCCAGAGACCAAATGAAAGCGGCCTGAGGGTAGTGTTAACTGGCTGAGTAAATGATGGATTTATATCCTAAATCCATTAGCAAAGCCAGAGGGAAAACACTGACACCTTTAGCTGCTGACGGTGGGGGCAACAAACCAGGAGAGAGAGAGAAACTGACCAGTAAACATCCATGTTCATGACTGTGTGCGCAAAAGCACGCGTGAGCACAGAGAGATTTTAAAGTTTAAAGTCTTGGATGTAAGTGCGGCCCAGAGGACTCGTCCTGGATTTCCACAGCTGGTAATCTGGGATGATGCACGTCTCCTGAATAATTTAGGGAAGTGAGAGCAGAGCCTGGAGTTGGTATTTCTGAAAGAGAAATGAATCCTCCTTCTTGAATGGCTTGTGTT